TTAAACAATCTTTTCCAGCCTCCAGTGGGACCAAGACAGCATCCATCCGTTGCAAACATATTTCTTGCATCTATTAGTCTTCCAGCGTAACACAGTTTTTAAATGTCACATGGTCTTGCAGCATCCTAATAGTATCTCTTGGGGAAAATACTTTCCCTGACACCATATCAGGGATCCTTAGGAATAGAAACAGAAAATATTAGGCTGGTGATCCACCTCCATCTGCAGATTGCCAGCAGCTGCAAGTTGTCAAAGAGATATATTGATTTAATTAGTCTAGCTAAAATTATCGCTTTTTCCGTTGAAGCATGATACAACGAGTTAGCGGTGTTTTTAGGTACCATACTGCACAATTCTCAGCTAGCACCTGTAACTGTAGTCAGAAAAAAACATTTAAGTTGTAGCTTTCAAGGAAGTACTGTATATTATATACTTGTACTGTGCAATATTTGTACCAACCTCCGATACTGGTTTTCACAAAACCCTGTCTACTTATCCTTGCTCTTCACGTTAAGCAAGTAATTTTACTGTGTGTGTTTGAGAGGAGTAGCAAGGTAGGAATTGGGAAAGGGGATAACTGCGTATATATGAACCAGATGTTTTTTCTGATCTCCATAACAAGAGGGCTGTACTTCGAACATAGTCAGCTCCCTGAAGCTTTCACAGAGGCTGTTGGGCTCTCCCTGGGGCATTTAGTTTGATTCCTGGTTTGTGAGCAACAATCAGGACTTTGCGATCATAAGTTCAGATTCCATGTGGGATGCTTTCTGTTTTTCGTGGAGCTAGAGTGGTCCTTTTTGTTCATTTTATTATTTGCATAGTACAGATCAGAGAACTCTGTTAGGTATTTCCAGCATCAAATCCATCAGTTCTGTCTGAACTATAGCTTTGAGAAAGACGTCCAGTATTGATTTAATACTTCAAATGATGGAAGCTTTATCACATTCCCTGGCAAGCTGTTTCACTGGTTAATCATCCTGACTCTTTGCTGCCTTCTTATTAAATTAAGCACACTAAGAATTGCAACTCTGTATCTCTTTTTATCTCTAAAGTGTATTTATTTTCTAGAAATTATTTTTGTAGCAGTTTTCCAAACCATTTTCCAAATTTTTAACATACTTTATAGATCCATTTCTGCAGTAATCATCTTGCTAATTCTGAAGATGTTATGTTTTTCTGTTTATCCATATCAACTATTCAGTTGTTCATGCATTCAGAAATCATATTTTCCCTTTTTTTTGTAGCATCTCATTAGTAACTCTGGTTTGGTTAGCTACCATCATCTAAATTCTTTTGATTTTTGCTGTCTTCCACTACGTATTCCTTTATTTTATCATCACTGGCTTTGTTGTTCCTGTTGTTCCTGGATGTATGATCCGGCATTTGGCTGTATTTTAGTGCAGATTGTTAGACTAAGCACAGTTTACTTAATGATCCAGACTGGTGTGTATAACTCCTCTATCTCCCTTGTTTACCCCTTCCCTATCATTGCAGCAGGAGGTACTTACACTTGTGCTTGGAAATCTGCGTAGTCTGAAAGTCCACAATCAAGGTTCTGAAGACAGCCTGTAATGGACATACCTCAAAACTTACCTTTGTAAGACGGAAAGTGTACCTGACATAGCTAGCATAGCTAGGGCCATTTCATTTACTTCATGCTGCTTTTTTTTTTTTTTTTAAATTTGTGATGTGATAGGCCACTTTTTGTTCTGGACATCGGTCCGACACATCATCATCATACATTTTAAAATTTGAATACTAAGGAGTGTGATAGTGGTGATGAAGAATAACTATGCTCCCCAAAGAGCTCATGTGTGTTCACTCCAGTTGGAATCCATGGGAACTGTCGCCATCTTTTACAAAGGTTACAGAAAAAGATAAATTTGGAGTTTTTTCCCCTCAACTAGTTTAATTTCTGCTAAATTTAGATATTATTTTTGTAGGCATGTGCTGCAATATGATTTCTCAAGTTGACAGTGACTTGTTTGGACTTATAAACCAACCCAATAAAACAATAGTTGTTTAATTATACATGGCTATTTTTATGCATTGTATACTGTATGAACAATTATAAAGGTGATTCTACAAAGACCACATGTAAAAATCGAATTTAGGTGTTTTCTCATTACGTTCTCAGGATTTCTAGCTCCAGAAGGGTTTATTAACTCAGGAGCATTATTGTGGTTGTATATACATACTGCTTCCAGACCAGAGCTGTACTGTGCTACACCTGGGTTAATAAGCCCACACAGAACTAGTTCTGGAGTTTAGATTTTGGATTAAAGTAGGAGTTGTGCTTACTTGTATCTTTATACTGATACTGAATTTAAGTATTAACGCTGGAATTAGTGGCAGTGTTACTAGGGCAGATCACAGGTTCATCCAGAAATGAGATCTTTTTCAATGGGCAGTAATGGATGCATAAGAGTAAGTATTGAGTTTTGGACAGTGTAGAGGCCTCTTGAACTAGATGTTGTTACCCACATTTTTTGTTTTTAATAAGCCCTTGATGAACATTGCTTCCCCTGAATTTCTGAAGACTTTTTGAACTTACATATACTTTCAATATGAAAAATACTTTCCTGTAGTGAGTACCAAACTATATTATGCATTGTGTGACAAATACCTTCCTCTTCTTTGATACAAACCAGGTTATAATTTCGTAGCATGACTATGAGAATAAGTGTTTTTTTCCTCTTCAGCTTTTCCTCAACATTCATGATTTTATATATCTCAATGATACCACTCAGTTTTCTGTCTTTCATGCTTTCTCCCATTACGTGTGTTTTCTTGCCACATATGGAAACTGTTTTGCACCTCTGACAATTATTCTTATTCTTTTCTGTTTCTGCTTGAATTGTGGGAGAGGGGTTGTTCAAGAAGAGAATCCACCGCACCTTTCTGAAATATCATGCTATGATGTGTTCTTCAGCTGTTTCCTAGTAATTCAAAATACTCTGTGGACATTTTCTGCTCTCCACTGAACATTGAACTGGTATTCCTGTAGAACTGTCCACAGTGGCTAGAACTTTTTACTGAGTGTTGGTAGTCACATTGCAGCATAATATTTTATGTATATATTTTGGAATACTTCTTCTCATGTGCATTATTTTGCCCTTATCAAAATCAAATTTACCTTGTCATTTTATCATCTAGTCATTCAGTATTATGAGATTCTCCTGTTAGCCATTACAGGTTGTGCTGTGTGGTCGGTGTATATTTTGAAACTAGTATGAAACTTGCAAGCAAGTCAAAGTGTAGAAAGCTGAAGTAGTGAATGCAAATCTGTGTGTATGTAAACATAAAGAGAACAGAAACAAGAACAAAGTTCACTAGCTACTCTGGAAAGTATGTTAAAATTACACATTCCTTTTTCAGAATAACTGAGTGACATTTAAATGACATTTCTTTGTCCTACAGAAATCAAAGGAAAATACCAGAGTAATTTGTAAGCGCTGCAAGAAGATGCTGGGAGAAACAGTACCAGCAGGTATGGGATGTACAAACCAAACTAGACTTCACTGCGTCAGCCATTGAGCACTGGAGGGTAAAAACTCTGGAGGAAAGTAGTTTATCAGTAAGGTGCAGGACTGATTCCTGTGTTTTTGTCTCATTCCCGTCTGGAATAGATGAGGTTGTTGTTTCCACTGTTAGACCTTAAAAGTGACTTATGACAGGGATTTTCCTCATCCTTGTTTCTGTGGTGTATTTAGCTACTTCCAAAGCTTTGGAAGACTCAATGCGTGATTTCAGTTTACCAGGAATCCCAGTAAAAAAGGAGATCTGAGAAATTACAGGTTGTTTATTTTGCTGTCAGTCCTACAGAATAATGGAAAGGTTGATTCAGAACTTGATCAACACAGAACTAGAAGCTAAAGATATGATTGCTAACAGCCAGCCTAGTTTCATGGAACAGAAGCCTTGTCAAAGAAACAGGTTATCTCTCATCATCATCCGATGATGGGATGATGAGATTATTGGTTTAAAAGCTGTCATTATATTGAATCAGCAGGGTTTACTTGAAGTAGTCTAAAGATGAGTCTCTGGTGGTTTTTAAAATGCTGTTATTAAAAGGAGAGAAGCAATGATAAGACTATTACTAGCAGGGTTCATTCTTTCATTCTCCTTCTACTCCACTGCGTCAGTCAGTGTGAGCCTGGCTCAATTCAGACATCTGGAGAATATAAAAACTTCTCAGAAAACGCAAAGCCTGTTTAAGAAATAAGTCATGAGGAGACACAGGACAGAAGGTCTTCTGTTACAGAAGGTTCCGATTGCCCTGTACAGGGATCTGAACAGTACAGGCTTTAATAAAATCAAATTTAAGGCAAGATGTTTGAAAGGCCACAAAGCAGGTTGTGACTTTGGGAAAACAGTGGTTGGAAAAGAGCTTCACAGATCATCATGAATAATGGATGCCTTAATCTAAGCCTTCAGACAATTGTAGCAACCAGTAATTGATGTTATCAGTGGGTATGGGAAAAGGCAAATACTGTGTAGATGTGCAGGGATTTGGTCTGGACTCTATACATGCCAGAAGTTAGATAGCATATCCATTGTTTTCACCATGTTTCTTCAGTACTGTAGGAAATTTACGTAGAGCTCAAAGAACAGACAAAAAAACTAACCGGAGATGTATGGTGTATGTCCAGACAGAACTCTCTGTGAAAAGAGATTAGAGAACAGACCTGACTGTCATGCTTTGGTGCTTCCTCATGAGCACATATCAGTGCCTTGAAGGTAAAGCTGGATTAGAGTGGTGTAGCTGTGGAGGCCAGATTTGGCTTTGAAATTCCCCTATCGGCTATTCCTTCCCCCAATTCTATCCCCATATACTTGTATGATTTTTTTCTTGGGAAATCCCACCTTCTATCTCTCTGCAGGCAAACATCTCCTTAATTCCCAATGCCCTTGCAGCAGTAGCACCAATTCCTTACTCAGGGTAACAGCTGGGGAGCTAGAGTGACCGAACTGGCTTCTTTTCCTCCTGTCTCCCAGGAGTAAGCATGGAGCAGACTAAAATTAAACTTAGAGGTAAAACATAATTTACTAACAGTGAGGATAATTTAAAAAGTGTAGTACTTATCTGGAGAATGGGTGGGATTACCAGGCCTTTGGAATCTTTAAAACAGATGAAGTGTCTTCCTGGAATGCTTGCTTTCATCCAGTTTTAATGGTGTGTGTGGACGGAGATCAGATGAGACAATCCCTTCCAGCCTTAAAATTTATGGAACTGATGAATCTTTACTGTTGTTCACATGCTAAGGCTTAGTGGAATGAATTTATTACTCTATATGCTTAACTTGTTCTGCTGGCCCTCTGGTTAGGCTGTGTTTGGAGCATAGACCCAGAGCTTCAATGTGATCATCTTTGACCTGACTTTATTGATGGGGATTAAATTCTGTACTCAAACACTTCCATTTAGTGTTAAAGGCTGTCTTAGTGGAGCTTTAGGGGAACAGTTACATTGAAACTCAGAATGTATGCAGTATTAGTGTTGAGTTAGTGTGACTTTTGGAAAGAAGTTCTATTCTGCTCTTTGAACAAAGAAGAAAATTATTCCCCAGTGTGTGCTGTTATTAAAACTGTCTCTCGTGATTCACTGCAGCATTACTGAGCAGCAGAGGGTATTAAAATACTTATGTAAGCTATGCTGATCTCAGTGCTTTAGGAAAGTTCTTTCAATTCATCTTTCAGGTTTGGCTTGAGCTCTTGCTTGCTTTGTTTGAAGATGATTGTTCCCAGCGTTAAACAAGGATCAATATGAATGACAAATTGTTCATCATGTAATTAGCTCAAAGCAGTTTTCTTCTGGCAATGTATGTTTTCTGTTATTGGTTGCTTCTCCCACAAACCAAAGCAGAATTTGACCATCTGCTGCACCTCTTAATTGAGTGCTGAACAGGAGTTTAATTAGTATAGTGATATGGTGGCTTACAGTCTACTCTTAACAAGTTGGTTCTTCTGTTGTACTTGAAAAACGTTTTTGTCATTTTAGATACCATTAAATATTATGTCACCGAGGTGATTATTCGACCATCTGAGGCAAGTTTCAGCCCAACACCAAGGTAACAGATAAAATTTTAAAAATCAGATATTTGCTCAGGTTTATGTTTTGGAAAGGATGCTAGAAATGCACTAACATTTTATTTTCTTGAATAATTACATATAATAACAAAGGGCTGTCAAATTTTATGTCATCATCACAGAATTAAGCACTGTAAAGGTAATGTAGTCTGAGTTCACTCATGTACAATTTTGCTTGTCTTTGTGTGTGTTTGTGTCTGACACAGGAGAGCGATTAAGTATAATTTGTCACAGTGTCTCACTATTCAGGTGATAAGCCAAAATACAATATTTATTTTGAACTATTTAAATTTGCATGATGTCTGGTGATTGATTATGGAAATAGAAGGTTACATTATGTAAAGTTAAATTAAGTAAAGCTTGAAATGTTTAATTGGAAGTGAGATTTTTGAATTTTCAAGAAATTCAGTTTAAAGTTAAGACTAAGATGAAAAAGAACTTGATCTAGCTATCTTGTATCATGTCCTATGCGTTAGTCACAGTTCTTTCCTTTTGTGAATTATATTTGAAATATGTGCATCATTCTGAGCTTTGTGTTTATATGTGTAAAATATAATAGGGAAAAGCTTTTATTCAGCATTTGACATTTGGTTTTGGTCAAAATAAAGGATGTTGAGCAATTTAGACTGCTGATCTATTAAAAAATTCCTGTTGCAGGAAATAGAAAGTCCTCTGGTTTTGAGGGAGAGAAAGATAAAGAAGCCCCATCTCTCAGTAAGAGTGTAGGTTGTAGTGGAATTGACAGTACGGAGATACTCATATACTTGTACTGCATTGATGCGAATGACTTTGCCTATATAGTTGTTATGAAAACATATAATATGTGGTTAATTCTTAAACAGGTCTCAATTCGTACAGAGCATGGTTGCTCAGTGTCTTGTGGAATTGTCCTCTGCTAAAAGCACATTTAGATTCACCATAAAAGGGGATAATGGAAAAATCTATATTCTGGTAAGTTTTTTTTTTTATCTTTATCCTGATGTAACCTATGAATCCCAGCTCCTAAAATGTATTATTTATGCTGTTCACGATTGTATGTTTAAAGAAAGTTAACAAATTCAAATTCTTGAAGTACTTCTGAAGAGTTCTGTTCAAGTAAGAAATTTCCCCCCATTTTTTAATCTGAGTAGATGTACATATAGAAATTTTCTCTATTAATACAGTAATGAAAGTCCTACAGATGCACCACAGGTATCACAGAAATAACACTGTGTTTTGTATTAAAAAAATATGGAAAGCTTAAGTTTTGACTTTATAATATAAATCTCATCTTCTTGCTCCAGTGCTTCTTATCTTTAATCACCAGAAGTTCATCGAATTGTATAGCATCTTTCACAAATATTGTCTTAGGTCAGCAAAGATTACTATTGTAGTCAGTACATTGCATTGCAAAGTGAAGTGCAAACAAAAATAAAATTGCCTATTATACTTAATGTTCTAATGCTGTTAAACTTGGTTAAGCTTGATATTTAAATGGTGACAGTTAAATTCCTCAAACTTTTTAAGATGGATAGGAATTTGGGTCTGGAATTATCTTAATACTATACACTTGGTATAAACAGGGATGTTTTCTTTTATTCATGAACTAAATATAGGCACAGAATTTGTAATTTTGCGGTTTGTACGAGTAATTCATAGACACAAAGATAAAGAAATACATGATTGTAGATTCCTGCCCTGGATAAACTTACAGATGCACTTTGTTGAGGTAGGTAATCTAATTAAATAAGCTGTTTTATATGTATATTGTCCAAGTTCTATAATTTCCGTACATCCAGATTCTGAGGTAAGTGTATATCTGTTGCTTTTAAATAAATTTTAGTGCCAAGATAACATTTATGCAACCACTGAGAAATACTTCTTATGTGACGATAAAATAAGTTCTCATGAGCAGACCCATAATTGTCACTATGTATAATCTAATTGAGGGATCATTAAAAATTATGATTTTTTCCTTGTAGCTTATATGTTTCCAAGTTACCTAATACGCTGATGCTTAAGTCTAGTAGCTTATATAGAATGACAGAAAAATCACCTTATTTAGCAGATTGCCATTACTCTTAGCTCCGAGTTGCATTTTTGCCGATGTATTGATTAGAGGAGCTGGCTGAATTAGCATAGGGGCTGGCTTCTGATTGGCATCCCTTCCTTTTTATTAGTGAGTTATTAGGGGGTTTTTTGTGTTTAACATCAGAAGGCCCTTAGTCATGTGCAGGGTGAGGTTCTAGGTACTGTATTCACACCAACAGGTGTTCTGGAATCATACGTTAAGTCTTAGGACTCAGAGGCCTCGTGGACACAAGTGTAATGTAAGCACTGTTTATATTAATGATTGCAAACAGCTAAACGGTAAAAATATAGGTGCTTGAGGCTGTGAGTACACAGCCAAGTTAGACAAGTGGTCTCATCACTGATGCATCATGGACCAGCTGTCCCACTTGTTTGTTTTGAAAATGAGCCAAAGATTCTCATTCACAGTGTTTGTGCTTACATACGTGAATGCACACAGTTTAGGCTGTGTATGTGGTGATTAAGGTTAAGGTCTCACAAGTCTTTTTAATTATTTTTTTTAAACCACAAATATTATGTATACTCATTTTCCTTATTTCCTCTGCATGTATCACTTAACTTTACCAGTTATGTTATTTGTGGATATCATAATATGGGTTTCTGTTGTTTAAGTTGGTGATAACCGAGTTCCTGAAAGCTATATACTACTTATGTTTTGTTTTGTTTTTTTTTAAAGGATGACAATAAATAATAGTCTCTTTGTATCAGGAAAAAAAAAGTGGCGTATACAGATTTCCTTATTTATCCTAACTATATCTCTGCCCTCTTCACATTCTCTAAAAATTAATCACCTGCCTCCTCTCTTTGCTCCACTGCTGAAGGATTCCCTACCTTGAAGTTGCATGACTTACAAGCTAAGAATAAGATGAGGACAGCAAATGGATAGTGAGATAGGAGAACACAAGCAAAATGGTACATTATTGGTCAGCATAGCAGCATCTGAATAGATTTCATTTTTTTGTGTACTATAAAAAAGGATAGGTTTGAAAGAGGTAAATAAGTAGTTTTGTGGATAGATACAGAGAATTAATCCCATGGATGGGATCAGCCTGTGTTGTGGTTTAACCCCGGCCAGCAACTAAGCACCACACAGCCACTCGCTCACTCCCCCCGGTGGGATGGGGGAGAGAATCAGAAAAGTGAGAAAACTCGTGGGCTGAGATAAAGACAGTTTAATAGGGAAAGCAAAAGCTGTGCACTCAAGCAAAGCAAAACAAGGAATTCATTCACTACTTCCCATCGGCAGGCAGGTGTTCAGCCATCTCCAGGAAAGCAGGGCTCCATCAAGTGTAGCGGTTACTTCGGAAGACAAACGCCATCACTCCGAACGTCCCCCCTTCCTTCTTTTTCCCGCAGCTTTATGTGCTGAGCATGACATCATATGGTATGGAATATCCCTTTGGTCATTTGGGGTCAGCTGTCCCAGCTCTGTCCCCTCCCAGCTTCTTGTGCACCCCCAGCCCACTCGCTGGTGGGGTGGGGTGAGGAGCAGCAAAGGCCTTGACTCTGTGTAAGCACTGCTCAGCAGTAACTAAAACATCCCTGTATTATCAACACTGTTTTCAGCACAAATCCAAAACATAGCCCCATACTAGCTACTATAAAGAAAATTAACTCTATCGCAGCCAAAACCAGCACAACCTGATAAACCCCAAAAAGATACATTTGTGAAAATCAAAAGGTGTGTGGCGTAGAGTTTGCAGTGTTTGAATTCTAACTCCAGTCTTTCAGTTCTGAATGAAAGATGGTTTTTGGAGTGGGATTAGGCTGTAAAGTGCTTTGAAAGTAAGGCAGCTTGTATTTTAGGAGTGAGTGTAGAGGGAGTGGGAAGATATCCCAAGAAAATAAATATGTAACAAAATGGGAGAGACCTGTCAATCAGATACTGATTCTTGGACCATGTCTTGGAGGGCATGAGCAGAACAAGTTTGCATTTGTCAAGGTTGGAGAGGGGGATGTTGCAGTGATCAAGATGTGAGATAATGAGTACCTTATTGAGACTTAGCTACCCAGCTCTCTTAGAGAGCTTTATTCTTTGTGAAGTATGAGGAAACCACATCTTTGAACGGTCTGAATGCGAGGACAAAGAAGCTGTAATGAAAGATGTTTGCATTACTGACTTGTGTGATGACGAAAGTAATGGTAATGTCTGCAATAACTGAGAAAGAACTAGCAAGGAAGAACAACAGCTTTTTTTAGCCATGTTAAATTTGAATTGATGCCTAATTGTTCACAAATTGATGCTGGAGACACAGGTTGAGATTTTAGGAAACTGATCACAGAGTGTAAATTGTAGTATTTCACCTGTTTGGATCAAGTCCCATGAAGCGTAACTGAGATTTGTTGCAGCTTTTCTCCTAAGAACATCTTTGAAGCCTATTGACGAGGTGATTTGAAAACCAAACCAAACCAAAAAAAAAAAACCAACAAAAAAACCACCAATAAACACCCAAACACTTTCTCCTGATGCTGTCATTTCAGAAAAGGTCATCAATCTGCACTATCAATGAACACTAAACTTTATATATATGTATCTTTCTGTAGAGGTTCTTTTCTTACTTGAGTTAATATGAAGGGAATTAAGTTGTGCAGGCTCTGCTGTACAAAGCAGTAGAGAGGAAGGAAAGATAGTATATTGTGAGTAACATAGTTGAAAGCACAGATCAAAATTTGAAACTATGTTAGCCAGAAATAACATGTATAAACTGCTTTGAGTCAACACACCCAGTCTTGGTGAGTGGGTGCTCATTCAGACCAAAAGCAAGATCAAAAAATAATTCATGCATGAGGAAAAGAAGGAAATTATTGCCTAAAAAAGCAAATCTAGTTCAGAAGTTGATTTTCTCATGACCAAGTGTCCTTCCACCCACAAAAATTCATTTGCTTTCTCTGTATTGTGTGCTAAATTATTAATTTAGATCTGTTTCTTTTTTTCTGATCTCTTTGTCTCAACAGCAGTGCAACAGATCTGTTGCATTGCTGTTGAGACAAAGACATAGTCTGAATAAGTGGTAGAACATTATTGTCAGATGCCACATATCAACACTTGTGGTGGAAGGAAGTACTTTTCAGATGGACCATGTTGCAAATGAAATGGTTTGGTTGCTTTCTCTAAACTAAGTTGCAGAAGGATTCTGAAAGGAGCAGACAGCTATTGCTGCGTTGTTCCCTAGACTAGTTTGAAGGATATTCCCCTTCTGAAAAGCATCCCAGGAGGCTTCTTCACAAGGAACTGTTAATAATTTCAAAAGGAAGGAGCTCTGTTTAGTTAAAGCTAAGTGTGTTGGCAGTGACCTGTGTGTATAGGACACTTCTCTTTTTTCCCCATTTTCTCCAACACCTCTTCAACACTTGGCTTAAAGCACTGTGTGTAATGGTCCTAGCTAATGAGGTATGTTTTGCAGTTTAGGCTATGAATGTGTACAGTGAGTTACCAAAGCAAAAACTGATGAGCAGCCACTTGCTAAGCCAAGTGCAGTTGCTTGTCATCATTTATGTGTGTATGCTAAAGAGATTCTCCTCCTCCCATCCCCTCCCAAGACATCTTTATCAATACATCTCATTCCCCTTTTATGAAGCTTCCACTGTAATGTTCTGAGCCTTGGGCTCTGATAAATTGTGACTGTCACATTCAATTACGACATATACTGTGTGTCCTGTTAACGGTGGCTGTCTCCCTCCACAGGGGATATCATATGTCTGCTACCTAGCATCATGTAACTTGTTTTACTTGAAGCTGATTAGGTCATGAGAAGCAGAATATTACTCTCTAGTGAGCAGCACTGCATAAATCCTGTTTTCTATGATAAATATTTCATATATAAACATTTCATACAGGCTCAGGACTCGTAAAAATTGGTTTCCGTTGGTAACTTGGATCTCTTTACTACTGCAGGCTGTGAATAAAGGAAAAGCCTGACTTTTTCATACAATGCTTAGTATGAAAGCCCTGAATCCAAGTTGGAACACTGATGCACAATCACACAAAGATTAAATAAGATCTATAATGTGATGCAAAAAGTTCAGATTTCTCAAAACTCTCCCCGGTAAATATCCCATGAATTGCTGTAAGCAAGTAGTGCTGAAGAATGCTAGTCCCATTATCAAACTTGATAAAGATTTATTTTCCAAGTAAGAGTCTGTTACAGCCGTTTGTAAATCCCAGCCTTCCTTTTAGACCACATCAATTGTTGTCTTTTTCCTTGCATGTCTTAGCTCCATCCAGTCATAACTATCACACTTTTTCTAAAAATCCTTAATTTTTCGCACTTCCAGTGGGCAGTCTTCCAGTTCCCTGTCCCTAGCCCTCAGTTGTTCAACACCATATGCTCGACTAATTCCTAAAAACTATGAAATTAGAGAAATAATCCATTTGGTACTGAAACAGACTACTTGGGACTGTTTCTTTTGTAACTATCAAAGAGTATGTGCTGCAGCCACAAAAAGAGGCAGCTTCACAGAAATAATGATTTTAAGAGTGACTGTGATAAATCAGGCATCAGTTTATTTTATTAACCCATTTTTCTCCGCTAGAGGCTGTGCAGCCTGTGCTGAATAATAAAATGTCAATTTATTGTCTGTTAACACTTTGTTGGAAGCTTTGTAAGAATGTGGCTTTAGTATCAGCTGATTTCGGATCGGAGTAAAGGAACGCATTGAAATTGATGTAATCTACAGTAAAATAAATTATTTCTTCATTTACAGATATGGCTTTTAAATTCTGACACGTTGCTGGTGGAGTCTTTAGGAAGTTCCTCCTCCCACAGTGTTTTTACACTGTTTGGAGATACTTCCATGCCTAGCTCTGGACCAGTGAGGACCTGGAATGCTGTCAAAGTCCTTTACCAGTCGTGCATTAAAAGCAGGAATAAGGAGTAAGTACAGCCTTTTCTGACCTCAGGTTCTGATCTTTGATTTGTTTTGCATTTCAGGGCAGCAATATTTCTTTGAGGTTCTTTGGACAGTCCATTATCTCAGAGATGTATCTCTTTGAAATTGCATACAATTTTTAATTTTTTTTTTTTTTAAGCAAAATGCCAGAGGAATAGTATTTGGTTTCTGTTACAGCCAGAGAGAATCTGGTTGTTAAATTTTTGCACTGTAATATTAAAACGTAGACCAAAGAGTTATATTGTTTCTAGGGGCACGCGTAGATAACTTAGGTATATGATACAAGCAGAAGTTGTCTCCGTTACACAGGAGAGTAATGTGCTTTTTCATTTCTGCATTTTTTCCCCGTGTTAACTCACTGCACTTTTAGAGCGTGGTCATTTTTCCGGCTCTGTTGGCAGAAGCTGGAAAGATGGTGGTGCTGTGAATCCCTCGGAGTCAGTGAGTTCTGTCCATACGGTCTCAGAACATGCTGTGCTGCAGCCATAGCTCCAGGTGATGTAATTCAGGGAGGAGGAGAAATTGAGGGGAGATAAGGAGCATGGGCTGACTCCTGAATGATGCGTAAGTTTAGCCAGATCTCCCTGTTCACCTTCAATTTCTGTGTTTTGTGTGAAAATCTGATCTCGTCTGTCAAGTTATTTATGGGAGTAACCCTCTCTGCACTCCCACAGTAAAGAATTTGGAACTCTTAGGTACAGCTGAAACCAAGAGGGTAAAGGTGGATAGTTACTAGTTTAGCAAATTATACCTGCCTGTTCCAGCTTCAGTATTGACCTTTTTTGCCTTAAAATTGTGCTTTGTTTTGCAAGAAAAAGAGCTGTTCACAGGACTGGAATTTGTCTGTTTAAGCCAAGTTATCTTCAGTACTACAGGTGTTGTCTGGTGGGTCGCAATAAATTAGCGTAATGATCATCTCTGTATACACGGACAATGCATCTAACTGTGTCCCTGTTAAAAAATACTTGTGCATGTAGCCTAGAAGTATAATATGAATAATGCTATATCAGTATAGCATACTCTTAGCATATAGCATATCCTCAAAAGGAAAATCCTTTCTCGATACAATTCAGAAGTTCATTGAGTTATCTAATTAGCCTCTCTGTGTTTAACTTGCTTTCAGCCCAGTGGCATTACTTCAAAAAAAAACAGGGCCCTGAGGGAAGGGGAAAAAGAAGAGGTGAGGAAGATGGTTGAGTACAATGACATATAAATGTTTTTCTTGGATGTGTCCAAGTCTACTGGAGCCCTCATAAAGGAAACGTTTGATTTTAGCAAGCTTTGAAGTCTTCATTATGAAAAACATACACTGCCTAACATGTTAAAGCCTTTATTTGTTGGAGAGCAAAGATAAGAGAATATTGATTAAGCAGTGGCTCCAGTGTTTGCAGGTAAGGGAGTATGATTTTAGCATAATTTTCTACTTTTGTTTCTACAGTGATAGGAGAGAGAGCATTGGTTTTATATAGGTCACACGTTAATAGAGGTTTGGTTTTGTTGTTTTTCCTTTAAAGTCTTGGAAACTAGATGATAGATTTAAAGAGGTATGGATGTATTTAAAATTTAGAAGACATTTCCTCCAGACTCAGTCAGTACACAACTAATTTATAGCCCAAGACCTCATAAAAGTACAACAAAAATGTTGTCTCATACAGACAAGCAAACATGTGCATATGAGTGTAAATATTTTCGTATGAGAAATATAGTGTTTATTCTGAATGTTGTCAAGTGTATCCTTTTAATTTTTCAAACAGATCCAATATTGAATAGCTGAAATAAACTGACATAGGGAGAGAATGCAAAATAGGTCATACTACATTATTAATGTTATTCATGTAAAAGAAGAAATTACCTTTATTAATGTAGTAGCTTCAGAAGTTGGCATTGGAAAACCTCTGTGATCTAAATGTTATTTAGTCATCCAAAATACATCTTAAAGTATTATTGTTTAAACTGCTTATTCTTAGAGTGGGAGATATTGCAAGAACCACCACCTGCTCTAAAATGAAAGATACTTCACTTACCACTCTTAAGTCTTACAGAAGTGTAACTGACAGTTTTGCTTTTCAACTTTCAGTTCTTTATCACTGAGAAGATTTAATTACCTCAACACACATTCCGTTATTTTGACATGTTATTGAGATAAAAGTCGTATCTACTTAGTCACTTACCTAGCATTCACAAATGCTTTTTGTGAATTGAGTTCTCAGCAGCAGAATTTTACTGTGAGATTATATTCAGTTCTTTCCGTTTCCCCAAACAGACTTCTTACAAATCACTTGTTTCTGAAGATTACTTTGTATTTATCTTTGGGATTTTGCAGTGAGCAGAAGGCACAACTGAGGTTTTAATTCTCCTCTGACATCTTCCCTGTCCAGTTCCTGGACAAATGCAAAAATGGAAGAGAAAGAACAGAGGGTTCTTTTTAAGGTTCAGAAACCAAGGTAACTATTGGTTTAGTATTGTTTTCCCATTTTTATACTTCTAGTAAAGAACAGTAAAAAGGACATTAGCACTTAATCTGTTTCCAATAACTCATGTATCAGTTCGCTTGAAGTACTGCCTGGATCTCTGCAGTAAGACTGAAGTCCTTCTGTATTGAACAGGAATGTAAACACAGCAGAAGCAAAAATATCAAAATCAGTACAATTTATCTAATGCAATGTGTTTGCATTTAGATCTCAAATGTTATTTCAAGAATTCTGAACAAAGTGTCTGATTTCCTGAATAGTGCAAGTTCCAAATGTTTTAGATGCCCACATTCCGATAGTAATTAAAATACTTACCTTGCTTGTTTCTGCACACACACCTGCCTTTGAAATAATGCAAAGGTTTCAGAGCCCAGGGTCTGCTCCTCGTGAGTGCGGAGTAAGCAAGGATACCTCCTGCGTAGGAAGCAGTCAGCAGGAGGTCTGCTTGTGACCAAGACCGGAACAGTTGCAAAGGTTAAGCGTGCACTCTTAATGTCCTGCTGCATGTCAGAGACCCTCTTCAGTTGTTGCGAGCCACTGGCTACACTTGGGTTCTGTCTGATTCCTGCAGTGCCAGGATCTGATCTGTGCGATGGGAGGGGAAGCACCTTTCTTACCTGTGGACACTGCACAGTTTGTGCTGGGTAGCTGGGCCATAGATTAAGACAGATTAAGGTAAACTTGAAATAAAGGCATTTGTAATACCTAAATATAATAACATAATCACACATTTGTAAAACATGGGTGAAGAAATGAAAGAAAATCTGTACTTGGTCTACTTACACAATCATACATCTACCTACTTGGAGATAAATACATGGTTCCATGGTAGCAGTTGAGGTCTCGGGCTGTGTGAAATTCTCCCCTGGCAAGCTGCCTCTACTAGAGAGAGCCTAACTGGGATTACCTAATAATTCACATTCAGGCACCCCCTTCTTGAAGTAACCCTTAGGTTCAGATTCCTTGGGATGCACTTGAATATTTCTTTTGGGGGGAGCATAGTAGCTTTTATAGGTGATCTTTCTTTTCAAGACTTCTAGGATGTCAGGAGAAATTTACGGTCTCACTCCAAAACTCATTTTATTCCGTCTTTATTCAGAGCACAGTTTTGCAATTTTTCATAATTAACATAATGTTTATTTCTCTTCCTCAGATATGGAACTATTTTTTCCCCCTTAAACTAGGAATTATGTGCTGTGAACAACACCATGCTTCAGTGAGCAGTAGAACTCTTTCTTTCCTCCAGTAAATCACTGGCATATCTATCACTGTATCTTACATTCAGTATTACTCTGAATGTTAACAATGCGAAGGAAACAAACATTTGAGTAGGATAAATGTTCATGGTTCATTACTGCTGTTGAGTGATACCGCATAGCCACAATGATAATTAACCCATTTGGAGCAATAGCTGTTCGGGGGTGGCTGATCCTGAAGCCTGCTGTAACAAAACTGTGTTCTGAGTTAGGCTGAACGTTGCTGAGAAGATGATTACCCCTTGTGTGGCATCTACCTTTTTATCAACAACATGCTGATTCATGTTCAATTTGTTGATCTGTGTTGACCATCAGATCCTTTCCAGTAGATCGTAGTCTAATAAGCAGCCTTCTTCTCTGGTTTTATGCCGTTGTCCTTTGTCAAATTACATCCTAATTTTATTCAGAACCTTTTTCCCTGTTGGCCGTGGCTGTTCTGATTTCCAACGTGTGGCATACTGATGGCCCTTCCCAGCTTCATGTCATCTGTGAATAAAAGAAGCATCTCTCTTGGTCCAGTCTCCGGGAAAGCGACTGAGATACGGAATAGGACCAAACTAAGAACACGTCATGTAAAGCCTCTCTCCATATATCTTTGTTTTGGCAATGAATTATTAACAGTTGTGCTCTGTATGTTAGACTGCATTGCTTAAGAACGTTCAGTAGCTTTTAAGGCATTGTGAAGTTAAGACATCTTAGGTATATCCAGACATGCTATTTATAGTGTAGCTCTTGGCATTTCTCCTTGCAGAGCCCTATTCCTCTGATCTTCCTGAGAGTAGCCTTTAAGTATTGTATTGATGTGTATCTTACTCCTTCAGCTGTTAAACATGGCTAGAAACACTTAGGTGTGTCTTATGTGTGATAGCATGAGTTCTGGGTAGGTGTGTCGACAGTTAGGGTTCCAGCCCCTGCGGGAGCTTTATGAGCAATCCTTCTACAACAAATTAGTTGAAATTATATGCTGTCATTTCTTCTTGTCACCTATGTAAAAAATATGTTATAAGTGTAGTTGAGTCCCGTTACAGACTCATGCATTTTCTGCTCTGTTCTTACTTAGATATTTATGGATGATGTGTATGTGATTATGTTGGTTCCCTCCACTTTTCTCTCAGCAAGGCTCCTTTTCTCCACCTACAAATCTGCTGTGCAGACAGAAGAGGTCTTCCTTTCAAGTAACAGGTTCTTGGCAAATAACACCTTATGCAAACAACTTTGAATTCTGGGAGTGATAATAGTAAATACTGCTGAAGTGAG